TATTTTTATTTTCAAAATTCATGTATTAATATTCATGCCACCAATCTATTTATTTATAGGAAATTTCAGATATATATTAATATACAATATTATATAATGGATGATAATTCATGATCAAAGGTAAAATGTTGATTTGATGAAGTCAATGAAAAATTAAAAGCAAATAATATATTAGACTGTATAATGAAAAACCAAGCCTATGTATTAAAAACATTCAATAAAGGAATACTATATTAATTTTTTTATAAACATTTTATTTTTATCATTCCCTCCGATATTTAATATTAATAATAAATATTTTGTTTTTCAAATTTGCGTAACGATTTTCAAGCCAATAAAATTTAATTGTTGCGTGATATCTGGAAGGGAGATCGTCACAAAATTTAGCCAATGAAATCAAATGTCCACTATGCTAGGCTATGGTAGAACATCCTTACAAAATTTATGCCTGGGGCACCTTTTCTGTAAAAGGTCCAATTGGTTTCTTTCTTTTTACTGATATTATGGATGATGTGTTATATAGAAAGATTTTAACTGAAAATCTATTTGACAATGCAAACAATGTCATGGGAAACCATTGGAATCTTTCAACAAGTAATGACCCTAAGCATACAGCTAGGGATACTAAAAAACTTCTCACACAACACTGTCCAAAAATGTTGGATTGGCCATCAAATAGCCCAGATCTCAATCCAATTGACAAATTTTAAAGAGACATGTTTATACATGCAGCCCAAAGTATTTTGACATTGTCATAAAGGGAGTTACACATGTAGTAAGGGGGTGTTACACTTATGTTTTTAATAGTGAATGCTGTAATTAATTTCTACTTTCTACCATCAGAATTGGAATAATTTTGACCATCGAAATCACCAAACCAATTTGGGCTGCATGTATAGACATGTTGAAAAGCAAGTTAATAAAGTGTTAACTAAAAAAAAACCAGTTACTGCAGAAAGTTTTCATGAAATAATTCAGAAAGAATGGGAGGGGATTGACAAAAAAAAATTGTTAATTTAATTCATAGTATGTTGTCAAGATTAAATGAAGTGATTGAGAAAAATGGTAATAAGATAAGCTACTAAGTAGTTTTAAGTAAACTTATTTATCAAATCATAAAGAGCATATCTATAAATTTTTATGTACTGTTATCTTTTTTTCATTGCACAATAAATAAAAATTCCATTCTGAAAACTTTTTTCATGCACTGTAAGTAGAAATATGAATATAAAGATCTTCAGTATAACATTACATGATATGCGGCGCAACCATTACAATAATATATAGAAAGATAGTCATTGGTCGTGATGTAATATTTAGCACATCACATGACCTCCGTAATAAATTCGTTCTAATTGGTCAATATTAACCGGGAAATTGATAGGTTCAAGATTTACTATCTCACAATACCAAATAAATGAATTTTCATGGACTAAGATAATAAATCTTACTTATGTCACTGATTAAATTGGGGAGAGCATGTTTTAATGGGTGATAACAATTATTTTTGTTTATGTGTGGATCAGAATGAACAGGTTTATTACCTTCAAATTTCTTGCAATTCACAATACAGAAATTATCAGAAATCACTGATAATGTCCTTTGTTTACCATTCAATCCACAGTTGTTCATCTAAATTGAAAAACATTAAAAATATCCAAAATTTATCAATTTTATTTTGGATCTGATGGTTCTTTGCTGATATTACTGTTATTACTTAACTGTATTGAGCATCATTTATAAGATTATTTTCATATAAATGAAGCATTAAAGCATGATTACTGGATGCACTTGTCCGAAATTCAAAGCTATCATCTTAATTATTAAATAGACAATTAATAGTTATTAATTATGATAGTAAGATTTATTTATTATAAGTTAAATGCTTACTTTGACATCTATTTTTATAAGATGCTATATTAGTACATCCAATGCTTCACAGCATCCTTTTACATACCCTCAATACAATATCAGTAATTTCAAAGTCTGGTAAAAATATTGTGGTCAGTTGTTCCATCCAATGCCAATTTAAATCAGAAGCAGCTGTTTTCCTTTTTAGGCTCTTCTCAAATGCAAGTATCATTTATCAATATTATTCCAATTAGACAATGTATAACCTATGCTACCACTGTAATATCATTAGTTATAATTTAAAAGGGAAAAAGTATACATTTTTCCATCATCAAAGCCCAAAACACTTGGTCCAAAAGAATGTGCACCCTTTCAAAATATTACTTGTAACTAGTTCACAGGTTTTGAATTATTTTCTTTTGTATTATGGACTGCTATTCTAATCATGAATTCTTCATGATTTTTAACTCTTGTATTTATATGTATCATATTTATTATTTTTTTATTTTTTGTATTTTTAAAAAGCCACAAACTTTCATCAAAAAGGACCATAATATCAATTTCGCCAATTACTAAAACTGTTTTGAATTTAATAAAATGATCGACATTTGATTTTACTATATCACAAAAGAAATCTGGGGCTATGTAGTTAAAATTTCTGCCCCCACCTTAACCATGTTTTAGGTGAATTAAAAATAGATCCTCTAGCTAATTATAATTTCAAATGAATATATAAATCATGATATTTTCACAAGATTTTCTTAAAATAAAAGATTTTGATCTCTCTATAAAGAAAAAAAAGAAAATTCCTGGCAATGAAACCATAAAAAATTTTTTTTATTTCTTTGTTATAAAATCACTTAATCAACTGGATTTTTCTATAAACGAAATTATATTAATCAATCAATCATTTATAAAGGTTTATTTGGAATTAAAATGTAAATTTCTGGTCAAATATGGGGTCGAGAATAAACGTCATATTTATCACATGTGACTTTTCAAAAACTTGTAACACAATTATTATTTGCTCCTCAAGAAAATGTTATAATAAGCACCTTCGCTGGTAATTATATCTATATGGAATCATTCATATCCCGATGTAAGATCTTTGCAGACCTGTTACATCTGCGACGTTTAGCCAAAATCGACACTTCTAACAAATATCGATCCAATCTTGCTCACGAATGTCTATTTCCTTATTCAGTCCCCATTGTGCTATTATTATTATTCAATGATGTTAATATCACTACTATTTTCAATAATAATAATAATATTTCTAAGATATTTACATACAAGTAAAATCTCAATTAGATTTCTTATCGTGAAATTTCTTGTTCTTTAAAAAAAATAAAATAATTCGAGAAAAATTAATTATCACAAAGATTTTTCTGATGTCAAATAAACAAAAATAGGGAGGGTTAACATCTAAAAATAATTTAATTCCATTTTCGTATAATAAGGTTATGATTTTGTGTATATGATGTGAAGATCTGAGCAATCCTCCTTGTTTTATTTATTATATTATTTTGTAATTAATTAATAAATGAAAACATATAAATAAATTAAGCCGAAGGTAGATATTTATTTATTTGGTTTCTTTTTTTATTTTATTATCATTACTAAATAATAATAAAATTTGTTCTCTCTCCTGTCGTTCTCTGACCAATTCAACTCCACCACATCCATCCATTCGCTGACTAATTTCAATTCATTCATACGACGTTCGTTAATAATGATGTTATTATATTGATTATGATGAAATAGACTGCTTTTTTTTTTTTGAATTTGAGAGATTACGCATCGTTTTTTAATCAACGTGACATTAAAAAAATAAAGTTGAGAATTTTTATCTCTCATTCCTTTGTTTGAACTTTATTTTTTATATTTATGTATTTATTGTGCAAGTATTTTTATATGTGTTTATATTCATTATATATAATTTAATTAATATGTTTAATATGTACGTATATTCATTTATATATCTTTCAAAACTTTAAAATAAAGTTCAATTTTTCAAAGATTTTGGAAAATCACTAATTAATTAATTTTAGTAATGAATGATTATAATTAATAACGTAAATCGTATATCAAAGTTCGCTTTTTATTTCTCCATACACTTTTTTTATACACAGTTTAATGAATTGATTGATTGATTGATACACACACGCACGCACATATATTAATTCCATAATAATAACTTACCACTCTACTAGCTACATTCACCACCACTACTAACTTCTTTGCTGTTATTACTATCATCATTCATTATCCAAAATTCAGGAAAGCTTATTTTTGTGATACGTTTCGCAAACATAACTAATGAACACAAAAATATAGTAAAAAAAAAAACAAATAAAATAAATTAAATTAAATATAAATATAAGCGAAGATTTTAGCTTTTAAAAAATTTCTTTTCTCTTTTTTTTTTCTTGTCTCTTTGTAAGTTGCTTTTTTTAGACCTAACAAAAAATAAATAAACAAATTCTTGATATTATATATATATATATTTAATATAAATATATATTTATATATTTATTATATATATATATATAAAATATTATAAAATATATATAATAATATATTGATTAGACTCGTTTAATTTTTTTTTTTTTAATTTTATTTTTATTTTTTTTTTGTTTTTTTTAAAAAAAAATTCTCGCTTGTTTTTAATTAAATATTTTTTTTATATTATAAATATTTATTTTTATATATATTATCTATTTATATACACGTATATATACACACACATATATACAAAGATTAATTAGAAAAAAAACATGCAACAATTGTATAGTGAAAACAAGCAACAAAAAATTATTATGACTGTAAATAATAATAATAGTCGTGGCTCTTCAGTACCAAATTTTGAATATGTTTCATATGATAGAGTTCAAGACTTGTATGAACAAAACAAAGGAACTTTATATTTCATTCCTGAAGGCTTTGAGCCAGTTCTAGTTCCTAACGATTCAAAAGCTCAAGCAGTCACAAATCTATTAGAAAATGCTAAACCAGTATCAGCAGCTCCAAATGTTCCTAGAATGTTACCTGATACTGACGTACGTCTACCATCATTTGCTCTTCCAGTTGGTGTAGCTGGTCCAGCACCAAAAAGTACTTCATCCAACACTAAAAATAAAGTTAAAAAACCACCAAGACCACCAAACGCATTCATACTTTATCGTAGAGCAAAACAACCTGGTATTGTTGCAAAAAATCAAGGAATCAGCAATAATGATGTTTCAAAAGAAATTGGTAGAATGTGGCACGAGGAACCACCAGAAGTTCGTCAAAAATTTCAAAGAATGGCCGACGCTGCCAAACAAGAACATATGAAAAAATATCCAGAATACAGGTACCGTCCAAGAAGACCGCAAGAAAGAAAACGCAGAGTTCAACCACGTGAAGAATCGCCTCAAGGAGATCTTCATCTTCATCTCCCTCCTCAAAATTTTTCTGCTCAAAATTTATCAATGTTAGATGCTTCGTCATTCTATCCGCCAGCAACAACAGCTAGACGCATCTCTTCAACAATCTCCTCGTTAGATGGTGAAAATTCACCAGAAATCTATTCCCAATCTGCCACTATGATGAATTCTAACAACAACAACAACAACAACAACAACACTAATACTAATATTCTACAGAACCCTCATCATCACCACCACCATCAACAATTAGTGTTCACTGATGATAATAGTAATAATAATAATAGCAACAACCATAATAATTATAATCATAATAGTAATAATGGTAATCATCATCATCATGGTTCTTTAATAAATTCACCTCAACGAATGGCATATTTAGAAAATTCTAACGAGTTTAACAATAACAGAAATTTAAATTATTATGATAATACATCAAATTATGATATTGATAGTCCAGTATCTTCAACAAATACTTCAATCGTTAATGATCAATCTGGTGGCATGATTAATCTTAATGCATATGATATTTCACAAAACGGAACGGGAGACTACATAAACTATCTTGAATTAGCAGCAGCAACAGATTATCAACTTTACGATGGCTATGATCATTTCACTACATACATCCCTCCCGCTGCTGATCAGTTTTCCCGTAATCAATTCGTGAAATTCGATTGTTAAGATAAAATTCCCCATTCTTTCCTTTTTACTATTTAATTTTTTTTAAATGTAATGAATAACTACATCACTTTTTGAAATCTTTAAAATTGGTAAGTACAAATAATATTTTTTATTAGATGTAAATATATAACAAAAATATCTTATTAATAATATTTTTCTATTTTTGTATAGATTGATGTCGAATGTCAATCAGTTTTAAAAAATTTTTTTATTTTTCGACTTTATTTTTTTATCGTTTTTTTAAATTTTAAATTTTTCGTTTTACTTTTCGCAAACACAAACACAAACAAAAAATTTCGGAAATCACTATTTTTATTTTAAATTTTTTCATTCATATTCAATCTTTTTATTTTTTTTTTTTGCATACACAATTTATCATTAAAAATCAAAACACCATTAACAATTATGCCAAATTAAGGTAAAATTATTTTTCTTGATTTTTTCCAATTTATTAAAATCATATACTCTCTTAATTCATCATAATGTTAATTTAAATTTCTTTTTTTTTGCGGAAAATTATCAATCAACAGATATCACACCACAATTGTATAAATTCATAAGCAATATTTTATTTCTCATTCTCACATGCATAAATTCCTACGGTTTTTTTTATTATTACTTCGATATAATACGAACTTTACACTTGGAGACCTTGAAAGGGGAGAGGTCAAATCAGATCAAAAAAAAAAACACCAAAAAAACCATTAATATTATAACATATTTTGCACAAGTCCTTTTTTCAATTGTGCACGATTTCTTTTTATTTTAATTCTGATTTTTATATTTATATGTCGTGCTGAAAAAAAGTGAAGCTGGGGCTAAACACAATTGGGGTTTTTTTACCTTTTTGGTAAAAATCTGTAAAAGTTTTTTTAAAATTCTTCTCATTGGTGTTCTTTAACCAAAAAAAAATTGTCACTCACAATTACCCTTTTCTATATTTAGGTATTAAGTATATATCTATATATAATATTTGTTCTTTATTGTTATTTTACAAAGTACGGCATATTTTCTTCTCCCCTTTAGTTAGTTAGCATTAGGTTATTTAAATAAAGTGATTAGGTGTTTTTCTATGCTAAGTTTTTCTTTCATTATCATATATATTTAAATTATCAAAATTTGTATTGTAATGTAAAAAAAACAAAATATCGAATTCATGTTGTCAATTACTTCTCACTACATATATATCTACTACATATTATCTCAAAAATTTGCTAATTTTTCATTCAAAAAAAAACAACATTTTATTTTATTATGCATTTTTCATTTTTTTCTTTTTTCTTTTACATTTTCATTGTTGTATTCTTTCAATGTAAAAAAAATCAAATTTTTTTTTAATATTAACAAACACAGTTACCTTTAAAAATTTTTTTTTTCCATGCATTCATTCTTCTAGTATATATTTTAATCAATTGTAAAAAATTTTTTTATTATTTAGCATTAATGTAATTTTTAGCATTTAATATAATTTTTATTTTATTCTTAATTTTTTTTTTGAGAAAACCTTGATAAAAAAACTTGAAAAAAAACATGAAAAAGTAGAAAAAAATTTTTTTTTTTTGATATACATATAAAATAATAAATTAATATTTAATATTGATTTCTTTGTCTCTCTCTCTTATTTTGTAAACTTATAAAAACTAATTATATAAATTTCTCTATCCAATTCATCTCCATATATAAATTCCATATATGAGAAAAACCAGAACAAAATTGGCTGAAGAACAAAGAAAACTAGTTAGTAAGTTATCGAATACAAGGAATACAAGAGATGTTAAGATTGATAATCAAAAAATTTACCATTTATTCATGGGTATAAATATCAAAAATACGTGATCAAGTTTGTTTTTGCCGTGATAAATTTTTTTACTACTATTATATTATGATGCAGCTCATCTATAATCAACATTACTATCAGTTTCCAAAAAGGAAAATTTGATGTGTCACATACTGCAAAAAACCGATGTTACACTTGAATAGTCTTGGTATTGATTTAACGGATTGAGGTCTAGAACAGGCTAATAATAAATAAATTATCCGCTAATACTAAATACTAATACCAAACTGTGTATCAGGTGATTAAAATTTTGACCAATGGTAACGCCTTTTGATGATCCGCAATACCACTGGCCAATGAAAGGAGTCGAAATTTGAAATTTTATGCCGTGATAACTACAGTACGGATCATTTATACTCGAAAAATTTAAAAATTAGAAATATTATGTGATCCACATTTTAAAAAACCACCAACTTTTTAAAAGGGAGTCAATTCATGTAAAAAAAAATTGTTCTAAATTGCTACATAATAAATTCTTGTGTTACAATATTTTTAATCACATGACCAAATTTGTTAATGATTTTCTTTTTATGTAATAATAATAACAAAATTCGGGAATTTTCAAAATGCTAAGGCTCTAGCCGATAAGTTTGAAACTTGAGTCACGAACAATAAAACTTATCAATTAAAATGTTATAAAATTTTTTGTTTTAGTATTTTGAAGCTGAACAATTGTCCCTTTTTATAGATAATAATAATAATAAACCAATACTACGTACTATGTAATACTAATTTTTGGTTGATTTTACAAAATGTTTAAATTCAATACCTTGAAATAAAGGAAAACTAAAAATACATAACAAAGTAAAGGAACATAAATTCTGCCAAAGTTTTTAGAAATACCATGCCTCGGGTCAAAGACATAATTCAGTTAGCAATGAATTATAAATAACAGACTCAATCTTTGATGTTGATATACTGAAGATTTTGTTGAGCAAATAAGTACTAAATATTTATCCCAAAATTTCTCGATTTCTGAAAAATTTGACTGTAAGTGTTTCTAACACCTCAAAAGTATCAACTCAAAAGAACACAGAGGTTAAACAAAATATTATTTAACAACATAGTCAATCAATTCTTCTTGTCTTTTTGTTGAATGAACCATGTGACAAGTTAGTAAACTTACATGTCGGGATTTGCCTACTAATGTTAAGAACTGTGATATACCTAAATGCAACATGACGAGTACAAATTGGAGTTTCAACCAAAAAATCAACTGGCGATTTTTATACATGAAAAATCGTTTGTTGATAAAAGTTTTATAATCAAGCGAAATACCATATCAAAAAGAAAGAACCCTAGAATTTTTTATTGAAATATATTATTAATTAAAACATTAACAAATGCATATTTCAAGTAGTTCGTAAATTAAAATCTTTACCTGAGTGACAGATCAACAATATTTTCGTTCCAAAAAATAAATTACACCATGTGTCCCTATTATCATCAATGCTCTCTACATCGTCTTCTTCGTCAGCAATAACAGCAACAACTGATAATAGTGATGAAATCATATTAAAAAGTAAACAAGAGTGGGTTAAACAAATGATATAAAAATTTAGTATAAGACCCGATTTCAAAATCACAAAAAATATCGTTTACTCTGATGGAACATTAAACCAAAGAGTAACTATTATTACTATTATTACACCATCTTTGAATTTTAGATTTAGAAATTGAAAATTTTGTATATCGACAACAACAATAATAATTTAGTTATTTTCATCCTCCAAAAGAAATCATTGGATCGTTGTCAGTACCAGTATCAGCATCAACATCAACACCAATATCAGCAGCATCTTAATCATTAAGATTATATATATATATCATCAAACTTAAAAAAGGTTTTAAGGAAATCTTTTCCTAAAAAATAATTTCTTAATTTGTATTAATTCTTGGATACTAAAAAAAAAAGTAAATCAATTTTGAATTGCATGCTACTAAATAGTTGAGAAAGTTTACTCTACACATGAGCGTGTGTTTATTTTTATAGTTGTGGTATAATAATTTCCATTATCAAGAGGTTTTAGAAATTGTTCGATACGCTTTAATCATTCAAAAGAAGCATGAATAATCAGCGAACTTGCTGTGGAAAGATTAACCTCTATCTACGTCCCTCAAAGTAAAAATTTCTTTAATTGATATTAAAAGGGGAAATATAGAATGATCTGCAAAAACATCCTCCACCATCACATAATAAATTTTTTGAAAAATATTTGTTTTCGGTTTCATTTTTGTTTGTTTTTGAAAAAGATCTAATTACACCTTTTCTCACATAAAGCACCTATGGCATCATTTTGATTTTTTTAAAGTTTTGGAGTTTTGAAAATGATTTCGAAGTTTTAAGATAGTTTTGGAGTTTTAAAAATAGGTTCGGAATTTCGAAATAGTTTTATTAGAATTAGAGTTGCCTTCCGAAACTCATGAGTTTAGAACTATTCGAAATTAAAACCATTCTAAACTGATTTAGAAAATGAGCACAAATTCCTAAACCAGGGTTGTGCAATTTCGCTGTACGAGAAGAATCTTCTTCGTACGTACGACTGACTTCGTACCATTGAGTTCGTACAGTTTCGTTGTGGTCGTACACCTGTACGAGGAAATT